GCACTGGTTTTCAGTGCCACTATTGATGGAGCTACTTGCGGCGCTGAAGTTTGTCGGCAATAGCTGTGTTAATTGAGGATTCGTTTTGATGCGAGATAAATAAAGAATTGTATTATTTTGGAGAATGTCTGCAGAAAATAATGTTTTATTAGTTGACTGAGTGTACAGAGCTGAAGACAGATACTTTTAACAAGAAAAGTTGTCCGTGCGATGACGAGTTTCCGAGTTCTATATTGGTGCCTCGTCTAGAGTGGGTGGTGACGCGGGTTCTTAATTCTGAACTGTGCCACAAAATGGGTATATCGCAAAGAGAGAGGCCGCGAACATCGTTAGCACTAAGATATATATATAAAACTGAAAAGAAAAAAACCCTTAGTGAAAAACAGCAACAACGGACGATTTAATCTTCGACGTTTCGGCCGGAGTCCGGCCTTCGTCAGGAAGAAGCTTCTTCCTGACGAAGGCCGGACTCCGGCCGAAACGTCGAAGATTAAATCTTCGGTTGTTGCTGTTTTTCACTAAGGGTTTTTTTCTTTTCAGTTTTATACCCACGCCTTCGGCCTCCCGCCACCATGCCCGTTATATATATATATATATATAGTCGAATCTCGTCAATTGGAACTCGAAGGGGACTGAAAATTTGTTTGAATAAAGCAAAGTTTGAATTGCCGGGAGTTTCCTCCCATATAGATGCATAGGATGGGGCCTGCAAGTTAGTTTGAATTAACGGAATTTGACTCTATTTATATGTATAAATATATACAGGGTGTGTTTTTTTTTTATTCTTACAAATTTGTTCAAAAAACAATGAAAGCTACACTTATGCGGTTTGTGCGAGTAAGTTATACGCCTCGGGGGACATTATAGGGGTGGCTAATCTTTGCGATCAGTCGGCTAATTAATAAAAATTCGTTATTTAACTTTTTTAATTAGTGAAATTAGTCATATGGTTCCAATTAGAAACTTGTTGAGCTTGTTGAAATCAGTAATTTCTAGAAAGACTTTGAGCGCGTGAAAAGCGCAACAGTGCGCTGACATTACCACTCGTGGAGCAGGTACAAGGCTGGGGCTAGATAAGAGACGGAAAAATTGCGCGGGCGCCTTAACGCAACCGCTAGCCTTGTACCTGCTCCACGAGTGGTAACTTTAATGCGCTACTAAGCTTCTCACGCGCTCAAAGTCTTTCTGAAAATGACTAATTTAGTGGTTTTCAATGACGCCCAGGAAGTTTCTAATTTAAACCATATTCCTATTTTCACTAATTAAAAAGTTAATTAACAAATTTTAATTAATTAGCCGACTGATCGCAAAAATTAGCCACTCCCATAATGTCCCCCCAGGCGCATAACTGACTCGCACAAACCGCATAAGTGTAGCTTTCATGTTGTTTTTTTTTTGTTTTTTTAACAAATCTGTAATAATACAAAAGAACACCCTGTATATCAGGGGTCTCGAACACGCTGCCCGCGGTCCCCATGCGGCCCGCAGGCAACCTGCTGCGAGTCTCGGTTCCCATGTCACAAGCGCTAGAAATGGCATGCGTCATCGTGATCTCATCTCACCGATTCATTTTCGCTTGAAAAGTAGCTCCGCTCTTTTAACGTATTCACATAGTTTATACTTATCTGTGTTCATCTGCCCTTTGTCTCGCTTTATGCTTTGCTTCCCAGATTTTTGTAATTTACTGTAATCCCGCTACTAGGCTGCAGGCGCGAGCTTTTTGTTGAAGGATGCATCTTGGATGCGCGAACTCCCGATCAGCAGGAGAACTGCCGAACATAAAGCTACGAGCACAGAAGTCTCGCCTTTAAAAAATATAAATCACCATTAAAAGTCAAGTATGGGTGTTGAACTAGAAGTCGTTAGGAAAGCTAGAACTGCCAAATTAACTGATTGTTTTTAGAGACATGTTGAGCTTGGTTAATATCTGAGTGAATTGGACAAGGGGACCGACAGTGTACTTGCTTTTTTGTTCATTTAAAAATGCGACCCCCGTTGGCGGGGCGGTGTCATTTTAATTATTGTTATCACATCATGTCAGGGCCCAAAGTAATCATATGAGCAAATCAAATCTAAAAATGTCACTGGCTAAACTAAGTTTACAAAAATCGTAGAGCACAAGATCTTTTACTTTGAAATCGTATGGCCCGCCCCCTCAGTCTAACGTTGGCTCTCGGCCTTCCCAGTGTGGGCTATCTGGCCCTCACGCTCAACTGAGTTTGAGACCTCTGCTATAGATATATATATATATATATATATATATATATATATATATATATATATATATATATATATATTATATATATATACCGCAATATGGCTGCTAGCCTCCGTGACTATACTCCGTCTTTTGCTAAAATGGACTAAGCACCAACGCTCTTACGTCCAATCACAAGCCAGAAAGAAACCACGTGCTATATTGCTCCGATGTGTGTATCACTGCGACCGAACATTTTTGTCTGTTATTCGAAATTTCTTGCTTCCAGCCTATTCGAAGTGTATGTATTTTTTTAACACTATAATTATGCGGAGCACGACCGTTCCCTGTGCATTGCCAATCCAGCGCGTGACTATGATAAACATTGGCATCATGAAACCTGCACAGACGGTTGGCGCTTCTTTTGGTCTTTGAGATAACCCTTCATAGTCTTCAGGCCGCTGCATCTAATGTGCGCCTTGAAGGGTATGAACGCCAAGCATTTATTCTGAGCAGTATTTAGCGAAAGTAAGAAAATCGTTCCATGGTACATTTAAAGTCTGATTAGAAATAAGCCCTCGCACTGAAGGTGTGATTATACAAAACTTGAAGGCCCCATCTCTTACGTCCATTTTGACCCGCCCCCTTCCCCCCCCCCCCCCCCCCCCAACCCGTAAAGCGATGCATGCAAAGAACCAAAAGGGAAACTAACGGCAACGTACAAGTCACGGCCACTAGATTGACCACGCTTGGGGCTTTTTTCTGTATAAGTGATGGATCTGTAGCTGGTCGACAGGGACCAGTGTTAACGCCGTAAGTGACGCTTCACATTGGTCTGACATGACTCCGGTGGCGGCAAACGCGGTCATGATGGATGGCATTGTAAAACAAGGCGGGGCTATCCTCAACTCGTGGGATCAAACGCGCTCATTGCACTGTGCGTGCAAAAAAGTTGGGATTCGAGAAGGCACAAAAGAAAAAAAAAAGGACGGACTCGTTGTAGCGCCAAATGAGAAAATAGCTGAATTGACTATCTGAAATCATCTGTTTTTCCACGCTGCCATTTTGTAAATCGTTAATGATGTTTTTTATGTGTGTGTGTGTCCAACAGAGGAGTGTAATTTTTTCAACAAAAGAAGAGAAACCATTCGGATGATTTTATTGTGCTAAGTTATGTGTGTGTTTATTTAGCAACGCGTTCAAATTGTCTATTTTTAATTTGAGATAAAGCCATTATGATTTTATATTTATTTGGAAGAAATGTAGACATAAAAAACGAGACAGCATGTTTTTAATAAATACAGAATTTTTTGTTGTTGTTTTTTTTTTTGTGCCGATTCGACGAGTCGTATATTTTAAGCGTTTGACCCGACCATATTCACTCATCGCTAACGCAAGACCCTTGCCAAGGGGATCCACGTCATGTGACGCGTTATTTTTAAGCCAATTTAACGCGTTTTTTTATAGAGTAGGTGGCGAGTAATTACTTTAGTTATTATCTAAGTGGTATCAAATACCGGTACTTACCTTATGTTTTGGAAATATCTTCATTTCACCGTTTCAGATTGGTTTGTTCTAGAACGATTGCTTTAATTATACGAGTTCGGAGGTTGCTTTTGAAAACAAATGTTTCAATCGAATGAACGCTCGCGCGGTGTTAAAATGCGCATCTACGAAAACTTATAAATGCTGAATGATTAATTTTTCAATTTCTCTAACCCGTTTAGACACCTAGACATTGAGCTTTCTGCGTTTCTGAAAGCCACGAAAATATCACTTTAGAACACTATTTATTTATCTCAGAACCTTTCCATTCCGGAAACACAACCTGATGAAGTAGAGTTCAAAATCACTCTAGCAAGCTAGAAAATATCACTTTCGGAACCTTGAATATTGTGACCGAAACATTCCCAGCAGTAAACCCACTTCTTACAAATCAGCTGTGCCCGTGCGAGCTGGAAGTGTGTTCACTGCACCCGTAATGTCTCACTTTTAAAACGGCAAAGGTACTGTGCTCAGTCCTCTTATTGGTAGTAAACACTATGCTCGTGTGTGTAGACCACAGAAATGTCTAGAGCGCTGACAAAAGCACTTCAGGTGCACAAACCTAGCTCAGTAGGACGTTTTATTTGCACTAGAACTCTCACGCTTCTCGCGCACGTCAAACTTGCGTCATTATAACTGACATCCTGCTGCTTGCTGAAATGCTTAGCCAATGAAATGAAGAGTGACGAATCTACACACAAAACCTGCGTTGGGGAAACGAACATTGTGGTGTCTAGAAGGTCAGACACTTTTGCAATAAGAGTGATAAAGTAAATCGAACGGAATAAAAAACAACATGAAGGCCAGTTATGGCAGAGACCATACACAGATGCCGAAAAGGGTCTATTAAGTACAAAATCAATGGCGAACTTCTGAAACGCCCACTTGTAACTATTCCGCAAGCTCAATGCTGTAAAAAAATTGAATAGGTCCGACCTTGCTGGTTCATTAAAAAAAGATGGCGCTAATGTTTGACGATTCGTCTGCCAACCTTGAATCGCAAACAAAAAGCTTTTTACAAATTTTATGTGCGTTATGCGTAGCATGCATTTCTCTGCCGTTCAACAATTTTCACACGACGTTTCCGAAGACCATACATACACTTCGGGAGATAACAGAAACGGACGGACAGACATGTCCGTTTCTTTCTGTCCTCTCCCTAAATGTATGAATCGTATAACCAATCCGCTCATGCTGACTTTGAGTTCCAAATACTAACACCCTGTTCCTTGTTCTTATTTTTTTTGCCCTGAAGCCTCATCGACACACACTAAGGCACGCCATGGACTCCACGAACGGACCGTCGGCCCCACCGACGGCCACTTCCAACTGGACCTCCCAGCCGGCCAGCACCGAGAGCGCGGCATGCGACCTGCCGCCCCCGGTGCCCGAGGGCATGCAGGCCCTGATGTACATCATGTACATCGCCGTGTCCGTGGCGGCCATCGGCGGAAACGGCATCGTGTGCTACATTGTGCTCGCATACCAGCGCATGCGGACCGTGACAAACATGTTCATCATGAACCTGGCCATCGGGGATATCCTGATGGCGTCCCTCTGCATCCCGTTCACCTTCGTGTCCAATCTGCTGCTCGGCTACTGGCCCTTTGGCGGCGTCATGTGCGTGGTGGTGACGTACGCCCAGTGTGTCACTGTCTTCATCTCGGCCTACACGCTCATTGCCATATCGGTGGACCGGTACACGGCCATCGTGTACCCGCTTCGGCCGCGGATGACCAAGCTCCGCTCTAAGATCATAATCGGCGTCGTGTGGCTCGTGGCGCTGGTGACGCCGCTGCCGACGGCACTGGTGACGCAGCTGGTGCCGCACCCGTGCGCGAACCAGACGTACTACTGCCTGGAGCAGTGGGGCACCCCGGAGCAGACCACCTACTACAGCATGGCCCTGATGATCCTGCAGTACTTCTTCCCGCTGCTCGCGCTCATCTTCACGTACACCCGGATCGCGGTCGTGGTCTGGGGCAAGGAAACGCCCGGAGAGGCCCAAGACGAACGAGACCAGCGGATGGCGGCGTCGAAACGAAAGGTGAACTCTTTTTAGGCCACTATACGCGGCTTCCATGTGACGCCATCGCAACATGCTGTTGGTCATTCCTAGTTCTCCTGGCCAAGAAAAACAAATTCGGCTGTTTGAAGTGTATACTGCAGATGGTATTAAAGTCCGTTGCAACTCAAGAAAATAGGGCGAGGGTAAGACGGACCGGGGAGAAGGAAGCAGACGGAACGCTAAAGAGAAAAGGAGGTTTCCTCCTCACATTTCCAGCGTTCCGTCTGCTTCCTCCTCTTCGGCCCGTCTTGACCTCGCGCTACCTTCTTGAGTTGCAACAGACTACAGTCCGTGGCAGGTTAAGAATCCAGTAAAAAGTGCTTGTTGCCTTTTCCGAGCTTCGGTTGCGCGAACGGCGAAGTGTTACCAAAGGCAGAAAGGTGTCGGTCGAGGCGATGCATCTGAAGGGTACTTGACCCGACACCGACTGTGGATGCTATTCGCTTAGCAGCAAAGTCATCACTATGGCCGCTGGTGTCAATGTAAGTCACATATACGGCTTTGACTACCTATTATAATTACGACTGAAACACTTTTGGTGTTTGAAGCTGAGAGCACTTTACTTTTGTTTCGCTACACGAGTTGTTGTGTTGCTGCCGATGTCTGTGTTTGTGCTGTGGCAGCTGCTAAAACGGTGGCAAAGAAAGAATGCGCCGAAGTTGAAGGGGCTGAAGCGGTTAAAAGGCTGTAAACCCTGGGAACCGTGATGAGGGCGATGGGAAAACGTAATATATTTGTTGGGCTCAGCTAAGAATCGTGCAGAGCCATTAAGAGAAGTTTCTTTGTTTTGTTTGATATTGGGATGGGTACACTTATTTAGGAATATGCGGCAACCTATACGGATACATATTATCCACACAACTCCATACTATACCATTACTATACTATAATTTGGTAAGGCCAGAAATAATTCCCAAAGTATTAGACTAAAACTACCGTATTTTCCAGACTATAGTCCGCAGAGTTTACATGTCTAAAAGTTAAAATTTTAGGCTGTACGGACTATCTACGCGTGCGGACTATTCAGGAATGTTGTTTTCCAAAATCGTTTATTGTGACAAGACGTGACGGACTTTGTGAACGAAAGACTGTTAATGATGACATATGTATAATACAAGCATCTTTGTGGGCTAAGAAAGCAAACAGTTGTCTAGGTGTGTCGTGTATGAGAAGATCTTCGTGTCAACTACGCACCAGGTGCGGTCTATGCACGGCGTGCGGACTATGAACCGGGTGCAGACTATCCCCCCAAAAAAACTCTTATTTTTTACACCAAATTTGCTTCTGCGGGCTATGCACTGAGTGTGGACTACAGTCCGGAAAATACGGTAATTGAGGTCTTTGAACAAATACTAAAGTAAACTTTGTTTTGTTTTTTTCCTTTTTTACAAGTAGAAGTCTTCCGAACGAGAATTAGTCAGTTGTGTCTGCAGAATAATTTATATTTATGAAAGCGGTTTTGCGGCTAACATTTGTTTTTCGCGGTGTTTTATTTCAGAGCGCAGCTCTTAGGCGCCCGTTTCCGGCTTGAGCGGCGTCGCCATCGCCGTCGGCGTTACCGCGCGGTGCATAATGGGATATGTCCCCTAATGCACCGCGCGAGACCGTCGTGACGTCACTCGTGACGTCCCGTGTGACGTCACGAGGGTCCTCTGCGGTGCATTATGGGACATTTCCCATAATGCAACGCGTGGGGAGGAGGAGGACGGAGGAGGAGGGGGAGGAGGACAAGGGGAGGGGAGGAGGAGGTGGAGGACGAGGAGGGGGAGGAGGACGAATGGGAGGGGAGGAAGAGGGAGGGGGAAGGAGCTTGAAGGGTGAGGAGAGGAGGAGGGGAGGAGGAAAACGAGGAGGAGGAAGAGGAAGGAGGATAGGAGGGGGAGTAGCAGGGAAGATGAGGAGGTGAAGGGGAGGGCGGAGGAGCATACTCTCCCCCCAGTACCCTCCCCTCCTCCTCCTCAAGAGCTGCGCTCTAATTCGGCGTTACAAGGTGTTGTAAACGTCTTCCAGTTTTTCGTTAGAGAATGGACGAAAATACATGTTCCATTTCAGATAAAAACGAAATTTTAGAAAATCATACAAAAGAAGAGCACAAGCTAGGATGCTCTTTTTTACACTCAGATTTGCGTATGTCGACAGGCACTTTTGGTATTGGTTAGAGTGCTGAAGCTAAGTTGTAAAGTTATTAACATGCGCACAGAGCCTTGCGAGCAAACTAATAAGTTTTTTGCCCACAGGCGATAGTTTGGGTTAAAGGTCTATTGCTGAAAAAGCAAAAAGAACCAATGAACTAAGATCATGGCAAGCGGAGGCACCAAAATATTGTATACATTAAAAAAAAGTAATCTAAGAATAGGACATTGAAAATTGTCAGTACTGAAATTCATATAAGGATTTTTGCGTTCGTTCGAGATATGAAGCAAGCTGGAGTAAGTTCTCGTCGTTCCAAACATAAAGAATAAATCAAACCTTGTTTTTGAAGAAGAATCCACAGATTCTTATCGGATTTCTCGCGCCAAAGTCAATGAAAACAAAAACTGGCAGAAAACTTCCAGAGATTACTGTAAAGGACATTGTGCGACACTCACTTGACGTGAAGCAACCGGTCAAAGGTATTTGTCAGGATAAACCTTTTATTATTATTATTATTATTATTATTATTATTATTAATTTTCCGTTTAGCGAAGCAAGTCGATTGTTACAAGCATTCTCGGCTTTGACGACAAAATTGCTCCGTCAGCCAGGCTGGCGGATAGTGATGCAACAACTTTCGCAATTATGATTTTTTTGTGCCCAACTGCTCTCATGTGCAACGCGTGTTGCTCAAATTTATTTTTTATGCTTTGTAGTAAAACTGAATACGTACATTAAAAAAAAAATAAAGTCTGATGGCATTCTTTTGTAGCAACCCAAAACTCCATTCGTAATACCAGTTTTTAACGTCTAATGCTTTCTGGATTTGAGTTTTTTTTTCCCTTACGGTGACTCTGTACGTTTGAGAATGTGCTCTATTCTATACAGCGAATGACAACAAAGGAGAAGATAAAATAAATGCATTATATTTCCGGGTTTGTTTTCTTTGTGCATTGTCGTATAACTGAATATAAGTAAGTTCAAAAGATATGAGGTCTGATGGAATTTCTTTGTATGAACCGAAAGCTCCGTTCGTAATATCAATTTTCAACGTGTAATGCTTTCTGGAGTTTAGGATTTTCTTTACGTTGATTTTGTGCATTTGAAAACGTTCTCTATTCTATACAGCGAATGACGACGAAGGAGAAGATGAAATAAATGCATTAGACTTCCCATTCTTTTTTATCCTACCAGTTACAGGAAATGGGAAAGTTGAAGCACAAGATCAAGTGACACGAGATTAGATGCGAATACGACACTCTATTTCTAACTAAAGTCCCATTATAGGTTTTTAATTTATGATTTTCTTCGTGTTTTTCCAATCGCCTGGTATGTTAAAACAGGCTTATAACTTTCCGCAGGGTCGAGGATATCATAGTAAAATTATATCATCAATTCAAAATATCTATGAATCTCGATGGCGCCACAGCTCTGGTTTGGTAAAAAAACACCTTGAACCCCAAGTCAATTTGACATGCCTGTTTCTGAACTTTCCCCGACAACCCCTCAGCTTGAAATTTCCAATATTCAGCTTCCTCTTGATGGTCTTTTTTTTTTCATTGTGCATCACCTCACTATTCACTCGCACAGCTAAGTGGAAATTCGGAAGCAGAAACGGTGTGTACATTGCCTTCATCAGCGCTCTATGCGAACGTGCATTTGGCGCCAATAGCTTGTTTTATATTCCTAGAAAAGGCTGCCTCCGTGCTTATTCCCGTTCAGTAAAATTCTTCTGGTCTGCACCGTTTTCAACGGTCGCTAATATGGCGCGTTTTACTTGCTTTCCAAAGCCATGAATTCAAGCGTTCTGGGCTATGGGGTTTGCACACCTGGATATAGGCATATGTAAAGGGATATGGAAACGAAATGTTTGCACTAATTTCTTTGTTTAGACGTAGTCCATGTTGTGCAGCTTGCCCAGAAACACTAGTTTAGACTAATGTTTCTGGGCTGCCGATGTAAAATTAGAGAAAGTAATTTTAAAACGAATTGACAGGTTTCAAGATTGCGTCTGGTGGTGATCTGTAAAGCTCCGTTGTAATGCAGCCACCTCACGGGCTCAAAAACAGCGCCAGTTCGCGGCAGTATGACTCGCTCGTGGAGTTGCTCGGTTTTGAACGTGACTTGGCGGAGAACGCTGACGAGTTTACAACATCATCTAGGTTAAGGTTTCCACAGTGCTTCCGCAACATGCATCCCACGCCATCGAGATCGCCGTTCTTTGCAGACGATAGGTACGAGCTTGAGCTGAGCTAGAAAGGACCTCTCCTCCAATCTGCAGGGCATGAGGAACCGTGTAGCAACTTTGCGCTCTTTATTTCATTCCTAATCTTTTCAGCAAAGTCCATCTCACGGCTTCCTTTTCTTCTTTTTTTTTTTTTTTTTTTTTTGCGAAGGAAGTACATTTTTATAACAATGTAGAATTTTGCTACCCTGACTGTCACTTCCTTTTGACGAGTGGCACAACCTAAACAAGGCAATGTCGACGCCTACAGCTTCTCCAACACATGCCAGAAAAGATCCCCAAACACGAGGCTGTGGTTAGGTGAGCGTTTAACAGTCTTCTACACCTTTTTCACCGGGCAATAAAACCTGTTTGAGCGGTGGCGCAGGCAGCCTTCTTTAAAAGACCTTATTTCTCTTAGCAGAGTCTCAGGCAGCCAACACTCCAGGTCTTCGGGGTTACCAGTTAGTCTTTTTGGCATTCCCTGCATAATATTGCTTTCTCACTTTTTTGTGAACGTATCCACAGAGGTAGTAAATAATCATGTCCTGAACATCTGACTTGCGATAATCATGCTCCTTATGCTGGTCGCAGGGAAAGCTGATGCGATGCAACTTTTTGG